AAAAAAAAAAAAAAAAAAAAAAAAAAGGCCGCCTTCCGACCCTGCGCAAGTAAGAGTGTGTGTGTGTCTGATTCGGTGGGGGAGGGAGGGCCGACCCATCCCCCACCAATCAATCAATCAATCAATCAATCAATCAAAAAAAAAAGAAAAAAATATCTATCTGTTTTGAGTCTGGTTTTGTTTTTGATTTTTTAAAAATAATTTTAACGAAAAAAAATAAACATAAAAATATGGGGATGCAGAGAGCAAAAAAATTTACACCTCCATTTTTTTTTATTTTTTTTTCACCTATGTTTTGCCTGCAAAAAAAAAATCCGCGGGCCGAGTTGTACGACGTTCAACTCGGTTTAACGCGGAGTTGCAACGGGAGTTGAACGGGAGTTGAACCGTTCAACTCAAAACCCCCGTTGAGTCCGATTTCGGACACATAGTCGGTGATGGTCCCTGTCGTTTCCCCGGGAGTGAATCCGATGCCATCATGTTGTCGCACTGGATGGATGGTCGATCAAGTTTCCACGTCATCGCGTCCCACAACGCCCTCTCGAAAGACAGCGGCAGTCTCTTCTCTCTCCGCTTCTCAATTGTTATGTCAAAATATGATGGCTCCCCCGACTTCTTCTGTTGCTTGTCGAGGATGAGCTTCGCCGTTGTCATCATGTTGGTCCACTTCTTCCGGCAATCCTCTGCTGTCCTGTGCATGTACTCGGCTTCCTTCATCCATGCGAGCACCCATGCGTATCGATCCTTCATCGCCATCATGCGGTGTTGGCCGTTGGCGTCCGCCATGAGGGCGTCGTCCTCTTGCATCATCCTCACCGAGATGGATCCTCTCGTCCAACGTCCATGGCACCTTCGGTTTGGGGTTGCTGGTCGGAGGCCACCCACCGCGACGCTTCTGCTGATCACCCTTAGCCGCATTCACATCCTCGCCTGGACACCCTTCAACCCCCTCCTCCACACGACGACCACCATCTTCATCGTTCATCTCCCCCGGCTGCGTGGAAGTGTCGTCCTCGTCGTCTCCTTCATCTGCCGCGTAACTGGACCTGCCCGTGTCATCATGCCATGTGCCCTCACCATCGCCAACTCCTCCAGGCGTCCAACCGGTTGTATTCGCCGGCACTTCACCGTTGTCTTCGCTGTTGACGTCTATCATGGACGCCGACTGATCGCTCGAAGTGCGTCTGCAAGACGAGGGGGAAGGGATGGACTTGCCCCCAAATGTCGGCTGAGTACTTTGCCCCAACGTCCGCCGACTGCTTTGCCCACACAGAGGCGACCATGACGGCTCCGCTCCACAGCCATACCCACCATCCATGGCCTGAGATGCAGGGAAGACCTGACCGGAAATGCCAAACGCCGTTCCGGCGGGCATGGATTGCACACCCGGCGGTGCATACCCGCCAGCAAGCTGTGCGCTGAACGAAGCGTTAGCGACGTACCCTGCCCCGGCTGGCATCGTCCGTGGTGCGGGCCGCAAAGGGAATCGCGGACGTGCAATCATCGACTGCATGTGCGGCATCGACATCCCGGGTCCCGAGGGCACTCCCATGGCCTGCCCCTGCATTCCCTAGATGGCTCCCCTGTGGAACGGTAGCATACTTGGGGATGGGGAGGCACTATATGCGACACCTGCATGCTGTCGAGGATCTGGCACCTGAAAACCGCCCTCCCCACCGGCATTCGGATCCGCCCTCCACCTCGACGAATCCATCACGACGCAAGACGTGCGAAAGATCCGATCTTTCCCCCACCCCGGAGAGTGACAGGCCCTTGGCACACTTGTTTGCGCAACAATCTGTTGCTACGCACACAGCGTGAACACGGCCAACAACAGTACCACTCCGCACAGAATCACAGCCAACAACACCGCTGCAGCCAAGGCGAAGAAAAACAACAGCACCACCAAAGACGCACTCACACTATAACACGGCCGGTCGCTGTCATCCTTCCCGTTCGTTACGAAGATGTAAACAGGACGACAGTAGCAGCACTGATGATGATCGACAGTCGACCGTGATCGAAGATCACGCACTCCCACTTCGCCACTGAACGGCAACGGGCCATGCACGTATTCACGTGCATTCACACCGTCCACAACGGCTCTCTCCGTCATGCCAGAGCGGTCGTGCCCAGATTGACCATGCGGAGGTGGGTTTGAAGAACGAGCAACCACCGTGCCGATCCCGGACAAGCGTGGAAGGATCACCCCTGCAGCGAACGACGAGGAAGGCCGAACCGCCAGATAGGAATGCGCACTGCACACTCGTGTGGGCAGGAGCCCTTGCCTCCGTGATGGTGCTGGACATGCACGCGCCCAACTTCGACCCGTGCCGTGGCCGGAAACATCCCACAGCACCCCCTTCAGAAAACTTCCTCCAACCGCGCACACACGCCTCACGGCTGCTCCTCGCTACACGAAGAACCGCCGACATTAATAATGGGCGACCGTGTATGAAGTCGACAGATGGCCGGCCCGGACTACACATGCTCCAGCACTGCATGGATGGCCAACGTACGCACTCCGCGAATTTGAATTTCCCGCCGCCCCATGCGAAGCGGACGACAACCCCCCTGCGGAACGCCCCGCTCTGACAGCCCAACCCAATTCGAATTTTGCGTCCGTTACAAATTCGGCACACGGGACCGCAAGCCCCCGCGGAACGGAACGGTCCCACACCCGAACGGTGTGACGCACCACTGTTGTCCGTGCTTTGAAGAAACGGTCCACCCCATCGTGCACTGGACCAGGCCGCCCGTGCCCTGGTACGGCATCTCAAGAGATGCCCCCCCCCCCCCTCTCAAAAAACAATGGTTTTGGAAAACTGTCGCCGGACGGTCTGACAGTTTCTTCCAGCCGCCGACCGTGTGGAAACGCTTCCGACGGTTTTCCACAACAGTCCGGCATTGGCAGTGGGGTCCCGAATTCGCATTGGTGCACCTTCCTGGCGGTCCAGTGGGGTCCACTAAACATGGAAATGGAAAATGAGTTCCACGCCGCCGGGCAGTTGACTACCATCTTCATCCGAGTAAAACGCACAGGTCATTATTGCTATATTTGGACCACGTGTCAGTCCAGCTACCGCTATAATGACCGTGTGTTCAAATCGAGTGAACATGAATTCGCTGAATAAGTTGAAACTCAATCTGAGTTTTAGTTGACTACCATCTTCATCCGCGTAATACGGACTATCGCGGTATGCGGACCATGTGTCCGTCCAGGTACCAGGTACCGCTATAACGACCGTGCGCTCAATTCCAGTGAAGACGAATTCGATGAAGAAGGGTAGGACCCCACAGGACGGCCAACTGACATTTCATTAAAACTGACATTTTTTTCTAGATTCACGAAAGTGGACTTAGTCCAAATTTTATTGCTCATTGGGTAAGATTATGAAAGTGGTTTAAATTTTATTGCTCATTGGGTAAGATTATGAAAGTGGTTGTCTCACTGTACCTCAAAGTAAAGTCCCGTTAGCATACATCCGATGATCAGATCATCGGGAGTTGCCACGACACCTGATGATCTGATCAGCCGACGTCATGGGGACAGAAAAGCACTAAAAAGTGCTGTTTTTTGGTATGCTCAATTTCGTGAATTTAGAAAAAAATGTCAGTTTTAACGAAATGTCAGTTGGCTGCAAATGGTTTTGGAAGTCGTGAGGCAACTTCCCGGACCCCACAGACCAAGATTCCCGTTGCGCAAGATGACGGGCAACCGTTTTCACTCGGTCCACAGCCCCAACCATTTTCACTCGGTCCACAGCCCTTTCCTATATCGAAGTGGCCTGCCTGCGTCCAATCCCAGGAAGCTTCCAGTAGGCCCCGGTAGCCTGAGGCCCAGCACGACGAGAGCAGGCCTTGGGCCTGAAGTGGTTGCATGTGCCCAACTGCCTTCGGCCTGTGCTTGACCCGGTACCCATATCCAGCCCAGGGCCTGCTTCACATACATTCACACAGGCGGCCCAGAGCCTGGCTTCACTCAACCAACTTGCGCTGCGCAACTGCCTGAATTTCCCTGAGTTGCGTGGTGGCCAGAAAAGGGCCCTGAGGGCCTCGTCGAGCCTGCCTTCACTTAGGGCGGCCAACGGGCTGCAAAATGGGGCCTTATGGGGCTCGTAGAGGCACTGGCCTCGCAGTACGTGGAACTGTGCAAAAAA